GGTTGCCATTTTAAAGCATTTGCGATCATTTTAGCTGAGCAGCCTATCATTTTCTGCACTTCTTTATGTTTTCCTCTCTCCAATCAACTTTTTAAGCAAGGTACGCTGTTCTTCTGAACAATGTCTGGAACGACCCATTTTCCTCAGAATTTCAGAGAGAAATGCACTGTAACCAGCATGTACAACATTTGCTGCCTTCCTTCCTTAAATAAGGGCAATAATTGCCACCTGTTTTTCAAAGAATGAATGACCTCACTAATAGAACTCCACACTGCTATTATTTTGAACATGCCCCTTTCAATGAGTGATTCAATGACACAGAATCAGCAGCATGCATGTCATGACTGTTGGGTCTGTTGGATTTCTATTACTCTACTACACCTGCTAGTAAATTATTTGCCATGTAGAAATATCATTTCTACCAAAAACAGTGATTGATCAGGTTAGTGATGTCTGACTGCTATTATTATTTGAACACAACTGTATATTTTAAAAAAGGTAATTTATACATAAATGCATCTGTTAAGACCCTTTTGTAAAGGGTCATGAATGGACGAATGTGATTACTAGGAGTACTAGACATGTGTATTTTGTTTCGTTCTGAATCAAAATTCGAACTAATTTTCCGTTATGTGGAGATTTGGATGTATCCAAATTCTGAATTACGATAGTAACGAATCTGAATGAATTTAAAATAACAAAACAAAATTCGGCCGACTTTCGAATTGATTCAAATTAGAAAACAAATTAGAAAAAAAATTCCAATTTGAACATAAGAATAGAATAAAATAGAACAGAAAATAAAGAAATAGAATAGAAAATAAAGGAATAGAAGAGAAAAGAATAGAGGAAAAAAGAACAGAATTCTGTAGAAAATAGAGTAAACAGAACAAAATATAATGGAAATAAAGGAATAGAAAAGAATAGACTCCATTTAAATAGAATAAAAAAAAAATAGAATAGAAAAATCAAAGAATAGAATAGAAAACAATATAAAAGATTAGAATAGGAAATAAAAAAAATAGAATAGAAAAGATTAGAATAGAAAATCAAATAATCTTCTCCTAACCTCTTAATATCTCCCCTAACTCTGGTCCTCCAGTATCTCACCCCCACACCAGGCATCCTCTTTCTTCCGGGAATAGCCGCAATCCCCTCAATTTAATATCAGTCCCTGTGCTCCCAAAAACCACCCTCCCTTTTTCATGTGCGCTCTGGAATGCCCACTCTGTCTGTAATAAACTCACCTCTGTCCATGACCCGCTTCCTTAACCTACTAGCAATTACAGAAACCTGGCTCCAAGCAGCCGATTCTGCTTCTCCCGCAGCACTTTCCTATGGAGGCCTTCTCTGGACTCACTCACCCAGACCCAGTGGTCGGAAAGGTGGTGGAGTTGGTTTGCTTCTATCCCCACTGAGCACCTTTCAAGTCCTCCCTAACCCTCCCTCTCTATCCTTCTCTTCTTTCGAGACTCACTGCATTCGGGTGTTTTCTCCCATTTCTCTGAGGATTGCAGTGATCTATCGGCCTCCTGGACCCGTGTCCCGCTTTCTTGATGATTTCTCCACCTGGCTACCCTACTTTCTCTCCTCTGAACTACCCACTATCATTCTTGGAGATTTTAACATCCCTATTAATTGCAACAACCCGGCTACATCCCAACTCTTCAACCTAACCTCATCTTTTGCATTAGCAATACAGTCCTCCACTCACTCTGATGGGAATACAGTAGACCTTGTTTTCTCCCATTTTTGCACTCCCTACAACCTCACAAACACCCCCTTTCCTCTCTCTGATCACAATCTCATCACCTTCACAGTGTCCTCATCTTCATACACCTATCCCTCCAAGCAGCAAACAATTACCCGCAGAAACCTTCACAACTTGAACCCTGCTCCTTTCCACTCTGCAACTGACCAACTCTATGACAGAATCTCTCCCCTATCCTGCCCTCACCTGGCCACTGCTGTCTACAACAGTTCGCTTTCATCCACATTAGACCCACTTGCTCCTCTAACAACATGAAGTATCAGGCCCCGACCATTACAACCTTGGCAGACTGACGACACCAGAAATCTTAAACGACATAGTCGTGCGCTGGAACGATTGTGGTGTAAAACCAAATCTCAACAAGCATTCATCCTATATAAATCTGCTTTCTTAACATACAATTCCTCCCTTCATGCTGCCAAACAAGCCTACTTTGTCACTCTTATTAATACGACCCTTGTCATCCAGTCCTTGTTGTCTCTTCTTTACTTTTAACTCTCTACTTTCTCCACCTCCACCCAGTACCTCACTCACTGATCACGAGATTGGAAATCATTTCAAAAACAAGACTTACGCAATTCGTAGGGGCATCGCCACTGCACAGACATCCATCCCACTTAGCATACCTTATACTAAACCTGCCTCAACACTTTCCTCTTTTGACCTTGCTACTACCAAAGAGGTCACTAAGGTTTTCTCAGAAGCCCATCTCATTACCTGCCCCCTGGATCCTGTCCCCTCACAATGACTACGGTCACCCTCTTCTTCTATCCTATGCTCCCTCTCTCACATCTTCAATCTTTCCCTCTCTAAAAAGCCCTCCCTGGAACCCACCAACCTGAACAACTTAAGACCCATCTCCCTGCTGCCATTTACCTCTAAAACTCCTAGAAAGCTTAGTCTACAATCGCCTGATCTCCTGCCTCACTGACAACAACCTTCTTGACCCTTTACAGTCTGACTTTCGCTCACTACACTCCACTGAAACTGCACTACTAAAACTCACTAATGATCTATTAATTGCTAAAACCAATGGCCACTACTCCGTACTCTTACTACTTGACCTCTCTGCGGCTTTTGATACGGTTGACCATCCCCTCCTCCTCAAAATACTCCACTCTCTTGGCCTCAGAGACTCTGCTCTCTCATGGTTCTCCTCCTACCTATCGCAGCGCTCCTTCAGCGTTACCTATATAACACTGCCTCCTCCTCTTCACTCCCTCTTTCTGTAGGGGTCCCTCAAGGTTCAGTCCTTGGACCCCTTCTCTTCTCCATCTACACCTCCTCCCTTGGTCACTTGATAAACTCCCATGGCTTTAAGGTACTATCTCTATGCTGATGACACACAAATCTATCTTTCTACCCATCGCCTCACCCCTTCAGTCTCCTCTCGCATTACTAACCTACTAAGTGACATAACGGCATGGATGTCACTCCATTTCCTCAAACTCAGTCTTTCCAAAACTGAGCTCTTAGTATTCCCCCCAGCCCGTGCCCCCTCCCCTGACTTCTCCATCAAGATCAATAACACAATCATCAGTCCCTCCCTTCATGCTAGGGTACTAGGTGTAATCCTAGACTCCCATCTGTCGTTTCAGTCCCAAATCCATTCACTGTCCAAATCTTGTAGACTTCACCTCCACAACATCTCCAAGATATGCCCGTTCCTAACCTCGGAAACCACTAAGCAACTTATTTACTCCCTTGTTATATCTCGCCTCGACTATTGTAGATCCCTCCTCATTGGCTGACCTCATCGCAGGCTATCCCCTCTTCAGTCTATCAGGAATGCTGCTGCCAGACTCATCCACCTTACTGTCCGTTCCATATCTGCCACTCCTCTCTGCCAATCCCTCCACTGGCTTCCCATTTCCCAACGGATAAAATTCAAAACATTAACAAAAACGTATAAAGCCATTTATAACTCTGCCCCAAATTACATCACTGATCTTGTCTCTAAATATCACCCAAACCGTACTCTCCGCTCCTCGCAAGACATCCTACTCTCTAGCTCCCTTGTCTCCTCCTCCCACGCTCGTCCCCAGGACTTCTCCAGAGCTTCCCCCATCCTCTGGAACTCTCTACCCCAATTTATCAGACTATCGCCTACTCTGCTCACTTTTAGGCGATCTCTGAAAACCTATCTCTTCAGGGAAGCCTATCCTATCCTCAGCTAATAATGGAATCTTCTACTCTTCCAACCAGTACATCCCCCACAGTTACTACCTTTTGTACCACTAGCCCCTCCCTCCTAGATTGTAAGCTCCAAGGAGCAGGGCCCTCCTATCCCTCTTGTATTGAACTGTATTGTTGCGGTATTGTCTCCCGTTATATTGTAAAGCGCTGAGCAAACTGTTGGCGCTATATAAATCCTGTATAATAATAATAAGAAGAAATAATAATAGAATAGATTAGAATAGAAAATCAAAGAATAGTATAGAAAAGAATTCAAAAGATTAGAATAGAATATAAAAGATTAGACTAGAAAATCAAAGAATAGAATAGAAAATAATAGACTAAAACAGAGCAAAATAGAACAGAAAATAAAGGAACAGAATACAATCAATTAGAATAGAATAAAAACAATTAGAATAGAATAGAACATGAAAAAATAGAATAGAAAAGATTAGAATAGAGAATCAAAGAATAGAATAGCATATAAAAACAATAGCATAGAATAAAATAGAAAGAATATAGCTGCCTTCTGAAATTCGAATTTTGAATAGAATAAATTTGAATTCGAACAGAACACATTAGAATAGAATATAAAATAATAGAAGAGAATAGATTAGAAAAGACTAAAATAATTTACAAAACATTGTGAGCTGTGCTATAGTGACATGAGTAGTGATCAACAAAGGCACTGTGAAAATTGTTCTGAAATTTCCAATATGGTCACGCAACACTTTGTATTACCCATATACCATCAAAAACACCTATGGATTGTGGATTATGGATTGTAACGTTAGAATAATTTTCAAATCCACTAGAATTGTTTTCAATTCCGTTGGGATTATTTCTGAATCCTTTCAAAATGTTGAATTCGGTTGAATTCGAGTAAACGAAACAAATTCCGAAAAACGAATTAAACGAATTTAAAAATCGAACGAAACAAAATTAATCAAATAACAAATCGAAACGAAACAAAATAAACGTTTTCATTATGCACATGTCTAAGGAGGACAGTTGTGATGTGCGATTTTAAGCTTTGTATCTGTCTCCTCCTCAGGCAGTCCTATTACTCCAAATTACGTGGACAACTCATCCTCAAGTGTGGCCCCTTGGTGCACCTGTAACACGAGTGGAAACCGACAGGAGGAGTGTGAGAACTTTCTGCACTATTTCACCAACAACATCTGCCTCCGTAAGTCTTTTTATTATACACTTTAATATATAGGATACTGTATATTCATTTACTAAAACATAGATTAAAAACTACAACCCAGAACAGGGGCGGACTGACCATTTGGAAACTCGGGCACTGCCTGAGCGCCCGGGGTCAGTAGGGGGCCCCATGAGATGCCCCTTTTTCATAGGCTTTTTTGAGTTTGGGCAAGGACACAGGGGCCCCATGATCCCCTATTGCCCGGGGGCCCCATGACTTGTCAGTCCGCCCCTAACCCAGAACATCTTATTGTTCACAGGGGCGGACTGACAACTTATGGGGCCCCCGGGCAATAGGGGATCATGGGGCCCCTGGTCCTTGCCCAAACTCAAAAAAGCCTATGAAAAAGGTACCAGGGGCATCTCATGGGGCCCCCTACTGACCCTGGGCCCTCGGGCAGTGCCTGAGTTTCCAAATGGTCAGTCCACCCCTGTATGTTCACTACATGCAGGTTCTACTTCCTTCATGTGCCCTGTCTGCAACTATACCCCATTGACACTGCACCTGCTCCATTTGTATGTTACATATCTCCCTCCCCATGCTGCATGCTGGTTTATTAAGACTGTCACTATGTTCACCAATGCTTCTTAAAGGGCCCCAACAAAAGTCAGGAGAAGACCCGCTTAAAGGACTAACCCTTCCGGTTAAAAGCTTGCCCCTTTCTTTAAACCATCCTTTGAGCCCTTCTCCCCTCTTTTTACCATTATTTTCCCCACTGGGCAAACCCAGTCAGTCTACGTCTAGCATACCTGTCATATATGTATGGCAGTATAGTTTGTATAATTGGTAGCTTAACCCCTTCACTCCTAAGGGTAAAGCAAATATTAATGCCTAAGCACAATTTTGCAACATTGACATGTGTTAGTAAAATCATACATATCATCACAACTACTTTGTACATCCAGGTGAATTATACCGTGTTTTTTTTCAGGACAAATTGGGCTTTCATTTGGTGGTAAATGGTAATGGATATCTCCTGATTTTTTTTTTATCAAAGGAAAACTGGCCCAAAATAGTAAAAAAAATATTTGTTTTAAATTTAGCTGTGTGTTTCTTGTTACTACCATAACCTACCATCAAATAACAACCCAAAATAAATTCTCCAGCTCTTAAGAATCGCAGCGATACCATATATGTGTATGTTATTTGTTGTTTGTACCTGTACTACAGCCCAGAAACAATAGTGCACATTTTGTTTTTTGCGGGGGTTTACCTAAAATATACTAACACTGACACCAACTGACACTGATACCATTTTTTTTTAACCCTGACCTTTTGGCCGTGACCTTTGACCCTGGCCTTGACGCAAACACTTACCCTGGCACTGAACTAGATCAAACCTTGATCTACGTATTTTTTCTTTATTTTTTTATTTTATTTTTTAATATTTATTTATATATTTACCTTTTTTTGTGTTGTTGTTTTTTTTTTTTACAGAATTTTTTTCCCCCTCTATGACAGGAGTTAGAGAGATACAATGTATCTTTCTCCTCCATTCATAGAGAGAAAAAAAAACACAAGGGGGCCGGGCTGTACAGTGACTGATCACTGTGATAGCCAATCAGAGGCTATCACAGCAATCATGTGACCCGGAATCGGGAGTCCCAGGCCCCGATCATTAGAACAGGACCCAGTGCTCTCAGTGACACCGCAGTCTTTGTGCTGGGAGCGTTCTGTGCAGCGCACTCCCGGCACAAAGACAGGTACGCAAATATGCGGCCCCACGGAAAAAAGCCCAGTTCTGTGAGGCCACATATTTGTGTTATGTTGGTGTCAAGGAGTTAAGGTTTATTACTACTAACTGCTGAACTGAAGGTGGCTTTGCTACTGTCTATGCTGATCTGGACACCAACTAACATTGCTTAGTCCTTACTACTTCTCATTCTGTATGCTGAAGGGTGTTACTATCATTGTTAATTCAACGTTATTTTTGCTTTGTTACAAACCTTTGTTTAGTGGCAATATATTAAGTCTTGTTTACTAACTTGCAACTGCCTGTTTCTTTGGCAAGGTGTCACTGCTAAGTGCTCTTTTCAGTGATCTCCTGTGACATTGCATGTTCTTACATTCAACCTTGCGTGTCAGAGGGCTGCAATTCTAAATGGGGTCGAGGCAAGGAACAAGGGACCCATTCGATCCCGCAGAGTCCTCCTTGCAATGTGAACAGTCTATTTGCCTTTCATTAAACACCCACGTTGTGTTCAGGAACTGTATATAGAAGAGGGTGCATGAATTAGAGTCTAGATTTTAAGGTGCCTGTGGAAGAGATGAAACCATATGGCCCATTTGGCTCCGTATCAAAAGCTAAAAGTTCATCCATTCTCATACTGTTATTTATTGTACTGACCTGTAACATTAAAGGGGGTAACATTAAAGAGGGTATAGTGGTTGTTTCCATGAAAAACTTTAAAGCCCACTCCATGCCCACTCCAAAGCAGCCATTCTCAACCAAGGTTTGGTTGGGAGGACTCCTCCAGAGGTTGGTAGGGGTACATTGAACTGTGGCTGATTAGACTCCATTTTGATGGTGCCAACATAATTCCATTTTCATGGTGCCAACATAACATTAAAGTGGGTAACATAAAAGAGGGTATAGTGGTTGTTTCCATGATAAACTTTAAAGCCCACTCCATGCCCACTCCAAAGCAGCCATTCTCAACCAAGGTTTGGTTGAGAGGACTCCTCCAGAGGTTGGTAGGGGTACATTGAACTGTGGCTGATTAGACTCCATTTTGATGGTGCCAACATAATTCCGGAGCTAATGGCACTTGGCAGTGCTAACAGCATGATATCAATTATGCTTTAATGAGTCTGTGAGGGTGTCATTCTGACCACTAATGTAATTAGCATTTTAAACAACAAAAAATAAAAATTCCCAGCTCAGCTTGCCAGCCAGCTTGCAAACAAACCGAATTAACCTGTCTAACAGTATGCATTTAAAACCGGGGTTCAGTTAGCACACATTTGCAAATACATCAGTAAGCTACAGAGCCACGTCACGGAACCCCCATATTCTGTAGTCCTAACTCTACAAATATTGAGAGCCCCCATAGTAGAGGCACATGTATGTAATGGATAGACCAAGGGCAGATGAACCTGAGGAAGCCCACCCCTCCTTAAAGATACAGGAGTGCACTGGACACCTAGCATGTAGCACAATGGCAGCCAAGGTGTCTAGTGCGCCCCTCACCAACAATTCAACAGTACAAAAAATGGCCACTGCTCCAGTCTATAACTGGCCTTTTCCCACTGACTCCTGATGAATAATGGGGGGTTCCCCAAGACCTAAAATGTATTACAAGGATTCCTTTTGTTTAAAATGTTTGAGAAAATCTGCTCTAAAGCTGCATTTCCCCAGTGTTACCCCGTGACTGCGTCTTCTGCGTCTAGCACTGAAAAATTCCCAATAAGGCAGCCATTCTCAACCAGGGTCCCATAGAACCCTAAGGTTCCTTCAGAGGTTGCTAGGGATTCCATGAGCTGTGGTTGATTTACCTCCCTTATGATAGTTCCTGCATAATTCCAAGTCCAACACCACTTGGCAGAGCCAGCACCATAACACCAATTATCTGTAAGAGTGGTATCCTGACCACCACTGTAAGAGGTGCATTCTCCCCACTGATCCTCAATTCATTATAGAAGGGTTCCCTGACACATAAAAATTATTTCAAGGGTTCCTCTATGATAGAAAGGTTGGGAAAGACTGCAATAAGGGAAGTAAATGTCATTTTCCCATAAAGCTGCTCTCGGACCTGCGGTCAGTAGCTGGGCATTAGACAGACTTTGACACTTTTTACTAAATGGGCAAGGTGACTGTGTCTCTAAGAGTTGTAGGCTGTAATACCCAAGACTTGCCAGCTTTTGAAAATGGATTGAATCTGGTATATGTATATGTAGCATACAGTAAGTATATTTAAGAACTGTGCAGGCAGTACATCACATAGTGCTTTTATAGTGGGTACATCTTAACACATACTTGGGTTAAAAGAAGACATATGTCCAGGGAAAAAATCTTTTCTAATCCCCAAAGGCAATCAGATATTTTTCCAGAAAACATTTCTTATAAGTATTAGTAGTCAGTAAAGTAGAACTCCAAACATTTAACCCGCTACTCCCTTTCCCCATCCCCCAGATGTCACCATTTCCCTAGTATTTGTTATTTAACAACAAAAAAAAACCTATACATAAATTAATATAATTAATAAATAACGTAATGTCCTTTTCTTGCTCTGGCAGCTGCTAATTTAGTTTTAACTTTTGACTTTGGAATATAATGTAATAAAAAACACATACGCCATTCATTCAAGAAAAAATGTACATAGTTACATGGTTAGTCTGGCTAAAAAAAGACAAAAGCCCATCTAGTTCAACTATAAAATAAAAAAAAAGTTATAATCCTATACCCAGAGTTGATCCAGAGGAAGGCAAAAAACCCCAGCAGTGCATGATCCAATTTGCTCCTGCACGGGAAAAAATTCCTTCCTGATCCCCCGAGAGTAAATTGGTTATTCCCTGGATCAACTTTACCTATAAATGTTATATCCAGTTATATTCTGTGTATTCAAGAAATAATCCAGGACCTTTTTAAAAGCAATCCACTGAGCTGGCCAAAACCAACTCTTGAGGGAGTCTATTCCACATGTTTACAGCTCTCACTGTATTTGGAGATTAAATCTCTTTTCTTCCAGACATAAAGAGTGCCCCCTTGTCCTCTGTGATGACCTCAGGGTGAATAACTCTACACCGAGTTCACTATATGAACCACTGATGTATTTTTACATGGAGATCATATCCCCCCCTTATGTATTATACATGGAGATCATATCCCCCCTTATGTATTATACATGGAGATCATATCCCCCCTTATGTATTATAAATGGTGATCATATCCCCCCCTTATGTATTATACATGGAGATCATATCTTCCCTTATGTATTATACATGGTGATCATATCCCCTCCTTATGTATTATACATGGAGATCATATCCCTCCTTATGTATTATACATGGAGATCATATCCCCCCTTATGTATTATACATGGAGATCATATCCCCCCTTATGTATTATACATGGAGATCATATCTTCCCTTATGTATTATACATGGAGATCATATCCCCCCTTATGTATTATACATGGAGATCATATCCCCCCTTATGTATTATAAATGGTGATCATATCCCCCCCTTATGTATTATACATGGAGATCATACCCCCCTTATGTATTATACATGGAGATCATATCCCCCCTTATGTATTATACATGGTGATCATATCCCCCCTTATGTATTATACATGGAGATCATATCCCCCCTTATGTATTATACATGGAGATCATATCCCCCCTTATGTATTATACATGGAGATCATATCCCCCCTTATGTATTATACATGGAGATCATATCCCCCTTATGTATTATACATGGAGATCATATCCCCCCTTATGTATTATACATGGAGATCATATCCCCCTTATGTAATATATATGGAGATCATATCCCCCTTATGTATTATACATGGAGATCATATCCCCCCTATGTATTATACATGGAGATCATATCCCCCCTTATGTATTATACATGGTGATCATATCCCCCCTTATGTATTATACATGGAGATCATATCCCCCCTTATGTGTTATACATGGAGATCATATCCCCCCTTATGTATTATACATGGAGATCATATCCCCCTTATGTATTATACATGGTGATCATATCCCCCCCCCTTATGTATTATACATGGAGATCATATCCCCCCTTATGTATTATACATGATGATCATATCCCCCCTTATGTATTATACATGGAGATCATATCCCCCTTATGTATTATACATGGAGATCATATCCCCCCTTATGTATTATACATGGAGATCATATCCCCCTTATGTATTATACATGGAGCTCATATCCCCCCTTATGTATTATACATGGTGATCATATCCCCCCCCTTATGTATTATGCATGTTCCAGATGAGGTCTTACTAATGATTTGTACCAGGGAAATGATATCTCTCTCTCTGGAGTCTATACCTCTTTTAATACAAGAGAGGATTTTGCTCACTTTAGAAACCGCAGCTTGGCATTGCATGCCATTATTAAGCTTGTGATCTACCAGAACTCCCAGATCCTTCTCCACCATTGATTCCCCCAGTTGTACCCCCCCTAGTATGTATGATGCATGCATATTTTTAGCCCCCAAGTGCAGAACCTTACATTACATTCTTGCTCTGGAGGCTGCTAATTTAGTTTTAACTTTTGACTTTGGAATATAATGTAATTTCCCAATAAAAAAACACATACAGCATTCATTCAAGAACAAATTTCCAGCCTGTTCCTTTTGAAAATCAAACAAATGTTTTTAAAACTAAAATTTTGGAAACAAGATTCTACCAACTTTAGCCCTGGAGTACTGAGTCCAGCCTGCATAATTCTACATCTCCTAGGTGAGCATGTAAATGACAGACTAGGCTCACAGGAACTGGGCAGAATAACACGAGTGTGGAAAGTTTTAAAAGAATATGATGTTATTAGCGAACACTCTGCAAGTAGACAGCAGCTGTACAGAAGCCCCTCATGCTCTTTGATTTTGGACTGGAAGGAAGAAAGATTAATGCATCACTTTGGCCTTTGTGATTCAGTCATTGGCCTCTTTAATGGCTGCAGCAATCAGCAGTGAGCTGTGTTCATTCAGTTCTAGAATCTGAACATCTAATCAAACTTCCAAGGCACAAAACTTTATTTTAAGCCAGACTCGAAGATCGATAAACCTAAAACAAAAAAAAAGGACATTATGTGAGAGAGCTACTAACAACAGCCACACATACTGTATGTATGTAATCACACCTGTATATATAATTAAATCATTAACATTAAAAGGGTTCTAAAGCCTTAAGGTTTTTTTACCTTAATGCTTTCTATTTCCTTTATTATAAGCCTAGCTGTGAGAAAAAAAAAACCAAAGTGGGTTTCCTTCCACTTAGAGGGGAGTCCATTGGATCAAACTGGTAGTTGTCAGCAGGGGAAGACAGGGATTTGGCCTTGAATACAACCCCAACCAGCTCTCCCTTTCATGGCAGGACAATTACCTGTGAGCTAAAGAAAGTGCACAAGTGTTTGATGAAGCTGCAGTGATTAGTAGAAGATAGCTACAGCATGTAATGCACAGCAATAGATCCCACACTGACCGATTTGTGAATGAGAGAATATCTTCACACTGGGGATGATTTACTAAAATGGGAGAGTGCAATTTTGGTGCAACTCTGCATAGAGACCAATCAACTTCCAGTTTTTTTTTTTTGTCAAAGCTTAATTGAACAAACTGAAGTTAGAAGCTGATTGGCTACCATGCACAGCTGCGCCAGGTTTTGCAGTCTCCGGTTTTAGTAAATCAACTCCACAGGATATTATTTGTACTGGCCCAAGAGGGAATCACCCACCCAAGCCCAATCCTTCCTTGTTTGTCAGTGCTGGGATTTTGGATTTAATTTGCAAAAGTAACTGAGTAGATCGAGGCAACATACCATTTCAGGGTGTCCCCATAAAAGGAAAATTTGCATTCATCAGTTTTATTGTTTTGCAGTCAAATGTTTATTGAAATTTCCTTAAGTATTGCATATGCGGTCATAATTAGGGTTTAGTGGGCAAGGGTGCAAGCTTAGATTGAATAATTACGTTTAAGGGTTGGTTAGGCTCAAATAGAAACACAAGAGCTGCCATTACTAACTTACTTTTGATGGTACACACTCTAGAGACATCGTCCTGATCTTGTCATTACTATTTATTGAATCAGTGATTCAGAACAAGCATGTTCCAGGTCAGTGACACCACCAAGCTTGAAGGTAGAAAAGGTTGATGGGCTAAGTGTTACAGCTCAAGTTTAGGTGTTTTGTGTTGGGGAAATGTTATGAACTAGATACTGTTTTTTAGGGTTAGGTTAAAAGTCAAGGTGTTGGGTCAGGGTTAAGGGTTATCTATTGTACATTCAATTATATTTTAGGGTTGAGAACATTTATGTTTACTTGCTGCTACTGTTGAAAGTGTCAAAACATGAGCTACAGCACCCTGAAAAAGTAACCTACCACCATTAGATAAGTGGCCAGTGAAGGCTTACCAAATCTCAGAATCAGAACAAAGTCGAAGATTTTAAGACATACACATCAACGTTTGGGAGGCTCCCCAGGTGCACAAAAGATGCTTTGGACCCGATTGTGTTGCATTCTTGTGGTACCTGTTTGCAGGATGGCTGCTAGTTAAACATTGCTCCTCTTGACATAGATTAAGTTTAAAACTCATATTTTAGTTATGCAGACGCCAGTAGGCTGAAGCATCCATAAACTAATACTACACTACATGGCCAAAAGTTTGTTGAAACTCCTTCAAATTGGTTAAGTTGTGTCCAGTATAGTCTATTCATGCTACAGAATACAAAGACATTTAAGACAATTTTGCATTTCCAACCTTGTAGTAACTGGTTGGGAAAGTCCTTTTCTGTTCCAGCATGACCATTCCCCTGTGCACAAAGCCAGCTCCATAAAGACACCGTTTGATGAAAGCCCTGACCACAACCCTACTGAAAACCTTTAGAATAAATTGAAATGCTGATTATTGTCTAACAGCAGTACTTATAAAATGATCCTTTGGCTGAATGGGCAAATTCTTACAGGCATACTCCAAAATCTGTGGAATGTTTTCCCAGATCAATGGAGTCTGTTATAGGTGCAAACGAGGGGTGGAGGGACAGCTCCATAATAATGCTCATAGGTTTGGAATGGGATGTCCAACAAGCTCATATAGGTGTGATAGTCAGGTGTCCACAAACATTTGGCCATATCATGATCCTTACCTATATTGCTCAATTTTAGACTAAGCCTTTACAGAGTCAGCCTCAACCATAAGCCTCTAACTCTCTTGGTGGATCATTTACTTAATGTTTTCACTTGTGTTTCAGAAAATGCTATACATGCTTTTGGCAATGGGACCAATTTAAATCCAGCGGTGAATCCATCAGTACCCCCTACAACTCCACTACACAAAGAGGAGAAGTACAGTAATGCTTCTGTTCCTGCAGTCAAAGAGAGTTTCACTGTCCGAGTACAGCCAACCAAGGTAATTTGGAGGAAGAAAACTATACAGAGAAAAAATGTAAATGAAAAAATATAATTCTATGTTCTAATAGTTCAGTTAGCTTAAGCTTAGCTGGGAAAGCTGTTTTTTTTGCCACTTTAAAGCCTGCCATGTACTATAAGATTTTCCAACATTTGTATGAATATTCGTATGAACATTTGATAACTTGATTTGAGTGTCATTCGAAAGTATTTAAAATTTTTTGTTTCCTTTTAACATATGATTTTGGAATGAATGTAAATTCCCGAACAAAACCACATATGCTGTTAGAAATGTGTTCATTCATGAAAAATTTTCCATCCTTTGCCTTCAAATTTGTTATTGTTAAACAAATGTTGATTTGATGTTGATCTCAATAATGATTAGAAAATTGAACAATCTCTTAAAACAAAAAAGTTTGAAAAATATTCTACTGGTATATGGCCTTCAGTAGTGTACTCCTACAAGACCTTTCAATGAATCTAATGTAAATCTTTATTTTTTTTGTCCCCTCTGTTAATATGAATAGCCTAAATTTATCATGATGAAACCATCAAGGTAAATAAACTAGACTTTATTTTTTTAATCATGTCTAACAAACTTTGTTTTTGTTTTCTAGGCCACAAAAGATGAGTCATTTTTAGTAGGATCCGATGAAATGAAATCCGAAGTTTTCAACTCCTTGGTTCCCTCTTCAAGTTCACAGTTGGTCCACGGTGGATGTTCTTTACTCATTGCTCTATTTTTCCAGACCTTTATCTGAAGACAGCCAAGGGCCTCGTATTTTATGCTAAAAGAGAAAATATAAAAGCTGGGAGAAAAACTTTGTCTTCTCTATTTTTATTATGTTAATTCATGGTAACCTTAAGAGTCCTTATTTTCATTTATTGTCTTTTGAAATAATCAAGAAAAATAAAAACAAACTCGGAGTCTCTAAAGTGACTTTCAGACGCGTTTCAGAAGAAGGCCTGGTGGGGCCAGCTGGAGATCAAGAACATTGGCATGGATCTCCTTTCAGTGGAGTACCAAGGAGCTTCTGAGATGAGACACTTGTGTTATTGCTCTGTGGAAAAAAAAGAGATAACTGAAACATGGACAAGAACAAAATGATAAGCATTAAACCGTGCCGAAATCAAGATGATTTGCACACTTGCCGAAATTACAACTCAATAGTATGTAGGAAAATGCATACAAAAATGAAATGAATCCCTACTCTATTTGCATAATTGGGACACTTATTTTCTATATATTTTAGGAGAAGGAGGGGGGGAGGGGGAAGTGTGTATATACCACATTACTGATTCGTCTGACAAAACGCAAGGGAAGCCAGAAACAAACAAGGAGGAAAAGGTTGCGTTTTTAGCATTGGCTTTTATTAGTATCATTTTTTCAACCTCTAAAGTGCTTGTGTACCTTAATACCCCCTAAAATCTATTTCTTGATGGTCATATGAAACTATTTCTACAAGATGGGACAAAATGCTTTCTAACAGGGCTTAATTTCAAGTTATGTCAACATAAGATTTCCGATAATAATTTGGTGTTATAAACCCCCTCCTGTTTCTTTTTCCTCTCTGCTGAGATAGAGTTGAATTCAATTGAGACGCAATTTAATTTTTAACCTTGGGATTTTTTTCTTTTTTTGGAAAGTAGCATTAAATTGTACTATACAACTCTGGGTGTCTTTTTAGTTCTGAACAAGCAGTATACGATGAACATTTCTGTAAGGGTTAAAAAGGCAGTTATTGGAGGATTACATTTGAATCTGTGTTTGTTAAGAAATGGAATATTAAAAAGTCCTTTTGCAGACCTCATGTCAATAATTTTCATGGACCTTGGTGGACCCACAGTGTGACCATTGATTACAGTAGGAAACAAAGATGCTGGAGCAGCTTAAGTCCTCTGAAAGATGATCATAGTAGAAAGTAGAAAATCAGATTAAACAGTAGACTGATGAAAAAAACAGGTACAGGCATAAAGAATCTAAACAGTCTAGGTTACAGACAAACAATGCCAGCATCAGAGATAACAGACTAATGACCAGGACAAGAACAAACACCGCCCAAACAATTTAGAGGAATAATCAAGGGCATGAACAGAACAGACAGAACTCAAGTAGACCTAAATCAGGTGGACAAGCTGAAGAAAAGGCATTTCTGACTGTTCAGCAGTCTATTTAGGCACTTCACTGACTAGGGCAGGTGTGTGCGCCAGAGACCTTAGCTGCAGGGCTATTTAACAACCAGCAAATAGAAAAGGCTTAATGCTAAGTATTATTACAGTCACTTTCTCCCGCATTGATCTACATGTTTACCTCACAGGGCCTCCTAGACTTGCAAATTTCAAAAGAACAGGAAAAAGTGTATGAACCTTAGAAGGACAAGGAAGATTATGGTGTTCTGTCTGAACAGTAAATTCATTTCTACAATATCATTGGTTCTTCACCTTGCATAAAGACTACAGGGAAATCAGTAACAGAGTAGAGGAAAACCATGTGCAATATAAACTTCAAGCTATTGCTTCTAATGTTTTTCTTACCACAGTGCATGGGAGAGTCCCCTGGAATTTCTAGTACTATAAAGTGAAACATATTTGGTGCCAGCTGTACACAACTGAGCAATATCTGGTGCCATTTGTAATGCATAAGCTGTATTTGGTGTAAAGTATACTGGATTGACTTAGGAGGTCCAGTGCAGTTGTGCAACTATTGGTGGCCCCAGAAAACATAAGAAGACTGATGGTCAGCCTGCCAGTTTGCACCTAGAACTGAAATATCAGCATGCCTTGGCTTGATATCAATAAGATAAAATTGGTGTTATCTAGAAATGGGAATCACTCATATTAACAAAGAACTAAATAAAAGCAGGCAGTAGCTTGTTCCAAGAAAAAACAAAGACTTCAAAATGGTGGTCAAAAACAGAAGACTGAGTAACCCACAGAGAGAAGATGAGAGGATCTGAACTATAAACATAAAGAAAACGTGAGCTTATGGTTGTCTTGCCTCTTTATTAATAGTGAGAGTTTGCACATACACACAGTATGGCTCATATTAACTCCCTAATACAGTATATGGCCAAAAAGTTGTGAAACAATGAACATCACACTTATGCAAGCTTGCAGAACTTACCATTCCAAAAATCAGGGCATTAAAACAGAGTTGCCTTCTCTCTCTTTGTGGATATAACAGCCTCTATTCTTCCAGGAGGGCTTTCCACAAGATTTTGGAGCGTGTCTGTGGGAATTTGTCCACATTCAGCTATTTAAGCATTTGTGAGGTCATGCATTTCAAATCTTCCCAAAAATATTCAGTAGGGTTGGGTTCAGAGCTCAGTGCGGACCACTTATGTCCCTCTACACAACGGGTGTCAAATTGGCGTCCCTCCAGCTGTTGCCAAAGTACACGTCCCCTGAGGCATTGCAAAGCTGGCAGTTACAAGCATGACTCCCAAAGGCAGAGGCATGATAGGACTTGTAGTTTCGCAACAGCTGGAGAGCCATCAGTTTGACACCCCTGCTCTACACCAAAGTCATCAAAACATGTCTTTATGGAGCTGGCTGTCATGCTGGAACAGGAAAGGGCCTTCCCCAAAATGTTTGGAAGTGCACAATTGTCTAAAATGTCCTTGTGTGCCGTACCATCAACAGTATCCTTCACTGGAGACACCTCAACTCTGTTTGATGCCTGAGATGTTTGATCCCCTTAACATCACACCTAAAGTATATGAGCTTGTTGGACATCCCATTCCAAAACCAAGTGCAATAATACAGAGTTGCCTTCTCTTTCTTTGTGGCTATAACAGCCTCCATTTTTCTGGGAGGGCTTTCCACAATATTTTGGAGTGTGTCTGGGGGAGTGTGTGCCAATTCAGCCACTAAAGCATTTGTGGGGTTAAGTACTGGCATTCCAATTCTTCCCAAAAGCATTCAATAGGGTTGGGTTCAGGATTTTGTACAGACCACTCATGTTCCTCTACACCAAACTCATCAAACCATGTCTTTATGGAGCTGTCTCTCATGATGGAACAGGAAAAGGCCTTCCACAAAATGTAATGCGGTTGGAAGTACACAATTGTCTAAAATGTCCTTGTGTGCTGTAGCAATAACAGCATCCTTCACTGGAGACACCTCAACTCTACTGGTCAAGTGTGATGGTCAGGTGTGCATAAACATTTGGCCATATAGCGTGTCTGTGTGTGTGTACAGGTGGTATAGAAAATAATCACCCCTCTTTAAAATAATCACATTTTGTTTCTTTACACACTGAAATGAAGACAGACACAGATTTTGTTTTATCCAGCTGTATTTACTCAGAGCAACTTATAACATCCAAATGAAAAATATAATACCAACATGTCAGAAAAAAAAATTCAAAAACTAAATCATTGAGTTTGAAAAAAGGATCACCGCTCCTAAAAAATTGCTTGTAAACTCAATCAGGTGCAGCTAATCACAAAGCCATTTGACTTTCAACTGTGATCAGCTTAGCATGAAAAGAGCTTTCTTGGAGCATTTCAGTCCCTGGTAGTGCAACTAAAGCAAACAATCAACTATGTGGTGACAAGGCACTGTCAAAAAACCTCCGGAATAAAGTTGTGGACAGGCACAAGTCAGGAGATAGATACAAAAAGATGCAAATGCTTTATTTATGCCTAGAAGCACAGTGAAGTCTACTATTATGAAGTGGAAGGTATTTGGTAGAACACAGACCCTCCCTGGATCAGGACATTGCTCCAATCTGGATGAAAGAGCCAGGAGGAAACTGGTCAAAGAGGCTACCAAGAGGACTACAGAAACTCTGAAGCAGTGGCAGGAATTGATGACAAAGAGTGGTCATTGTGTGCATGAGACAACAATATCTCAAATTCTCCACAAATGTGGCTTGTACAGGAGGGGTTGCAAGAAAAAAGCCACTCCTCAAGAAAGGCCCCATGCAGTCACCACTGAGCTTTGCCAAAACGCACCTTGAAGATTCTGAGGCCACATGGAAAAAGGTGTTGTTCTGGTCAGACGAGACTAAAATGTAATTATTTGACCTCAACACTAAATGATATGTCTGGT